CCGATCCATTGACCCAAGATTAAAATTTTGGTCAAGTATTACGTGTGTGATTAAACACAATAACACATACAAGTTCTTAACTACAAACAAAATAATTACCTGACCGGTGGCGATAGGGAGTTGATAGAAGAAGAGATTGATTGGTGTGGAACTAACATGAATACCAAATGTTGGTGCAGGGTTGTATATACCAATTCTTAATGTTCCATTCAAAGTCAGCAACTTAGTATGCATTCCAGAGAAATCAGATCCTTCACCAACATAAAAGTTGCGTAGTTCGAATGTCTGCATCACATTAGTTCAACCATCACTAACCAAATATTTTCAAAAGAAACAAAAAAAGATGGCCAATATAAATAGGGTACATATAAGCTTTTCGAGAAATTATTAGTACCTTAACAGAGATTTTAGCCTTGTACGGTCTACTAGCTCCCCACGTGATTAAGCAACAGACGGTGAAGAGAATTACGAAAGTGAAAACGGCAAGTAGTGCTTGACACCTCTTCATAGACGTCACGTCTTCTTCCATTTCATCGTACGAACCTTCTTCAAGTATACTCTCGTATTCTTTCTCGTTAGATCGGCACTTCTTGATGTTCTTCTTATCCGATGATGAAGATCTTGATATCCCGGAGAATCTACTCGCTGATGAGTTACGAGAGTGGCGGCCCAAGGAAGAAGAATCGTGTGTGGGAGAACCCATCGGGATAGGCTGTGTAACTGACGTGTATGAGTCGCGTGAAGGACTTTGCACGTAGTACAAGGCGCGTTTGGAAGATCGTGTAGGTGATGGCGTGAGACTTGTCATGTCGGACATCTTGCTTTACTTATGTCTCGACCTAGATAGTGTGTATTAGCAAAAGATATAGAAGGTAACGTGAGAGGAAATTCAAAACTTTCTCACTCAAGAACTGAGTTTAAAAAGGAGAAATATAGTGTTTTAAAGACATCTTTTACGTGGAAATAAGACAGAATGTGAAGTCAGTTCTGATTGTTTTGACGAGGAAATCAACTAAGAGTGAGAGATGGTGACCAGTTTCTTGTGGTTGAGGTATTACCAAGGCTGAGTCCAGACGTATATCCGAAACTGTTTGACTTAGGTTTGGGAGTGAATGAGTAACTGAGCATCAGTGGAGTGAGCTTACTTGTCGAGCTCTCGTTTGTTAGTTGTTTATACATCTGTGAGCTGTAAAGGTATTTATTAGTCTTAACTCTTAAGAGTTTATATCGTCCGTCCGTTTTGAACTTTTGATTAATATGGAAATAAGGTTGGTTACCTTTTAGGGAGGTGTCTTTATATAAAAACAGAAGTCATCATAATAGTGCGCTGCCTGCAATAACCTTACTTCATCTGTTCATCCTTTATTTTAATTTGTATTGTTTGTTATATGTTAATTGTTATTTGTGTGTTTATATGGAAACTGAATTATTGTTTTGATGCTCATCCCCACTTGTCTATGATGACATTCACTAGGCTGAAAGCAAAACCACGATCGCTGAGGTCATAACGACTGAATTAGTTTGGTGACTGGCGATTGACAAGTGTTTTGAAATATGATGTGTTTCTTTAACTTTGTTGTGACAACAACAAAAATAAATGTTATGGAATGTAGGTCTATTATACTCCCTTCCTTCTTTTTTATATCTGACGTTTTAAAATTATGCATCTAGAAATTTTTTTTTTTCATTTCTAAACAAAAGATCATTAATTGTTTGCCTAGCTAAAATTTAATCAAGAATAAAATAAAAACTTTAATATTATTGGTCATCTAACGTTAATTATTGATAAATTTTTCATAGAAAATTAAAAACGTATGTCAAATAACTCGGAACAAAAGAATTCTTCTAATAAAAATATACGGAAAGAGTATATATTTTTGCCAATGGAGACCAAACATGTTATTAGTCTTACGTTTATAATATGGCTTGTTACTAATTATTCTCAAAAATGAAATTCCATTTTTATTTTGCTTGTTACTAAACTGCACCAAAAAAAAGGGTTGTTACTAATCTTCTCCAAAAATGATAATTTATATTTAAACCCGTAAATACGTAGTTCCACTCTTATTGAGCCGATACCATGTGCCCTAAAATCCGAGTATGTTTTCTCGGCCCATTTAGCTGCAAACCGAAGAGAGATCATTCGGAAGCTTAAAGGTCACAACTTCAACAACATTCCAGATGGGAATGAATTGAGATTTGAGCCTCTCTCTATCGTTATCCTATCAATAAAGAGCTCTGAAAACAACGTGGACACACGTCAGAGAGATTTATACTACATCTCTGATGACTCATCACGCCTTATTTTTCTTACTGCAATCTTCGTTTCATTCTTATCGTGAATCAGAACGGATCAGAACCGGTCTATTTATGATTCTCACGATTACTATTATCTCTTAGTAGTGACAACAAATAGAGTTGACAGAAAAAAAAATGTTAAAATAAGAGAGGGAAAAAGAAAAGACAAAAGATTACGTAAGCAATAAGGTACTAATGTAACACGGTTACTTAAACTCAGGAAGATAAACGAAAAAATATTAAAAGATTAGCTCTTGTGATATTAAAGGAATCTCTTCGACTTTTATTAGTTAAAGATGCTGGAAGGGAAAGCAAAGGTGGAAGACACAGATATGCCAGTGAAGATGCAAATGAATGCATTGAACATTGCTTCTCAATCTCTCGATCTTTTTGATGTATCTGACTGTCAACCTATCGCTGCTCACATCAAGAAGGTTAATTATAGCTTTTCAGGTCCTGTTACTTCTTCTTTAGCTAACTTTTTTGGAGTCAAAATCAGGAGTTTGATGAGAGATATGGAAGTGGATGGCAATGTGTGGTGGGATCAAATTTTGGGTGTTTCTTCACACATTCTAAAGGAACTTTTATCTATTTTCACTTGGGGACCCTCAACTTCCTCATCTTCAAAGGAGCCACTCTTTAGTTTCTTAACAACACCCATGTTTGTTTTTTGTGTAGGAAACTGAGTTTTTTTTTTTGGTTCTTTCTCTTTTCCTTTCTGTAATTAGATAATGTTTTTCCAATAAATTGTGAGATCATGTATCTGTACAATATGGCTTTTGAGATTGATTAATTAAGAAAATTATTAAAGATAATTTAACATAGAAGCATGAAAAATAAACTAAATTTAGTACTAGCTAATTATAATACTTATAAATTCAACTACACAGCATGCAAGCATATTCATAATCATTGCATCAATGTCTACGTTTGTGTTTAAAGTTTATAAATAGTAAAGTAAAAAGGTTTAAACACAAAGCATCTTAAAATATACAAACTCCAATCCTAAATTTGTTCATATAACTGTGTTGATGAATCAATCTGTTAGTTAGTTAGTAATCTAATGAGGCAAAGAAAGCATCAAACAGAGAAGTTAATCTAGTTTCATTAGTTTGTTCTCTTAATCTCTACAACTAACATCAAAGAACTCTTTATTTCTTTTCTTTTTATGTCTCTCCCGCCTAAAAATTCCTCTTTGTTACAAGAGGAGAAAACAGAAGGATTCAAAAACAGAGAACCTCTCCTTAGGTTTAAGAAAATTATGGAAATGGTGAAAGCGGTTGAGAGAGAAGAAAAAGAAAGCTACAAATTCGGATTGTACGATTTCGAGAACATGAAGGAGAAAAACTCATCTTCTCGGCATGTCAAGAGATGTAACTCTAGTTCTGCCTTGAGAACTGATGATCCAAACATTGATGATGACACTGTTTTCAAAAAAACTTCAGCCTCAAGCGTCCTACCAATGTTACCTCTTCAACCTCCTCAGACGTGTGAAGCAACCGGTGAAGAATTACAGGAAGAGACAGGCAAGAAAAAAATATCTATTTCACTGTTTTAAAATTAATTAGGTTAATAAGCTGTTTTGAGGTTTTCTTGGGTGACAAGCTAATAATATAGTGAGAGATTTCTTGCGTTATACGTTAAACTGATATAATTATATATGTTAACAGAAAGGGAACAGATGAAAGAAAGGTTCGCGAAACTGCTTTTAGGAGAAGACATGTCAGGAGGAGGCAAAGGAGTTTCATCAGCACTAGCATTATCAAACGCAGTCACAAATCTTTCAGCGTCAGCGTTTGGAGAGCAACGACGTTTAGAGCCAATGCCAGAAGATAGAAAAGAACGGTGGAGAAGAGAAATAGGATGGCTTCTCTCCGTTACTGATCATATAGTTGAGTTCTCTCCAACACTACAAACAAACAAGGATGGTTCTTCCATGGAGGTAATGACTACAAGAAAGAGAACAGATCTTGTCTCCAACATCCCTGATCTTAAGAAACTAGATGTGATGCTTACTGTAAGTAAACACATATACTTTAAAATTTGCTTCATTCATTTGCATCAAGAAGTCTGAGGTTGTATAATGTCACAAACTCTGCAGGATTGTCTTGATAGTTTCAAGGATCAGGATGAGTTCTATTACATCACATCTGATTCTCCTGAACATTCAAACATTAACTCAACCAGGAACAATGATAAATGGTGGCTTCCTACAGTAAAAGTTCCACCTAAAGGCTTATCCGAAACGTCGAAAAGGTTTCTACTGAATCAAAAAGACTGTGTGAGCCAAGTGCTTAAATCAGCAATGGCCATAAACGCTGAAGTCTTGTCTCAAATGGAGATCCCTGAGAGTTACATTGACTCACTTCCTAAGGTATAATAAACCCTAAACCTTAATCACTAATAGCCCTTTTTGATTGTGTATCCTTGTTCAATGCCTTGTTTTATTTGTTTGTATTTACAGAATGGGAAAACTACTCTTGGAGACATGATCTATAGACTGATAACATTAGACATGTTTGATGTAGAGAAGTTCCTTCTTGAAATAGACTTATCATCTGAGCACAAGATTCTTGATCTTAAGGACAAAATCGAAGCTTCGGTTGTGATATGGAAGAGAAAGATAGTTCAGAAAGACAATAACAAGTCTTCATCACCATTTAGTACTAATCTGAGTATGGAGAAGAGACAACTTCTAGAGGAAAGAGCAGAAACCATCTTGCTTCTTATCAAACTAAGATTCCCAGGAATCTCTCAATCCACACTTGACATCAGCAAGATACAATTCAACAAAGTAATCAATCAAAAACATGTTCCAAAATCACATTTTAAGAGTTAACTTGTTTATGTTCTGTCTTAAACAAACTATTTTTTTTTGTAGGATATAGGGTTAGCAATAATGGAAAGTTATTCAAGAGTTCTTGAAAGCTTGGCACACACGGTATTGTCAAGGATAGAAGATGTTCTTCAAGCTGATCAGCTAAGTCAGCACCCTGAAAACTTGATTTGTAAGAGATATATAGTGAAAGAAACAGAGAGTCCTAAGAAGGAAGAAGAAGAAAAAAACTTTTGTCTTTTAGAGGAGAGACCGATAAAACAGAAGGCTCCCATCTCACTGTCTGAGGTAATGCAATGGGATATGGAAGACAAGAACGATGCACCACTCATAGATTCAGGCAAGAAACTGTTGACCAGAGTATCCACCATGATCATGGCTAACAACAAGAAGAGTAGCTCTTATCTTGAATCTCATGGAACCACAAGGAGTCCAGCAGCAAGTCAATACTCTTGAGAAGAATATTTATTTTGTAAAATTAGGGAAAGAGATATATGTAACATAAAATCAAAAGTCATTTGAAGGGTTTGTAGTATTGAGAAATGTTTATGAGATTATAAGGAGGGAGAGAAGGTAACAAAGATGCATGAATCTAAATCAGAGTTTGCCGCGAGGACCGAGCTTAGGCTTCTCCTGAGGACCTCTCTTGATGGGAAGAACATCACCGGTGGAGGAAGCGCTGACATATGTGAGCAAAGATCCTCCTCCGAGAATCAAGAACTTGAGGAGCAAACCTCTCTTTGTGAATGGTGCAGCGAATGTCTCAAAGAACTTGCTCTACAAGTAAGCAAAGAAGAATAGAAGCGTTCACAATATTGTTTTTAAGTATTAAAAAAAATCTGTTTAGGGGTTTATTAAACCTGAAGAGGGTTGTAAGGAGAAGGAGCATCAGAGCCGTATAGATCCCATTGACCTGTTGTGTTTCCCAAATCTTCTAAGTCAAAGTAGACACTTTTGTCTCCATACTTAGCCACCACACCACCAGACCTAGTAAAGATGAAGAACAACCTCAGACTAGTTGATTACACAAGAGATGAAAATGCCAATCATATATATATTTATTTATTTATTAATTCGGAGGAGTTTAGGCAATGTCCTAATCTACCTCTAGAACCGGGTCTAGCCGTTGCTAAATACATGATGACATTGCGTAAACCATTTTTTTACTAACCGGAATTGAGCTATGGATACAATGGAACCAACATCTTGTGATACACTACTAACCCAAGTTGGTCCAATCATATATTTTCTTTAGCATTTTCATCCATATTTATGCCATAAGCACTTAATCTTCATATATGAAGTTAAATACTATGATATCTGAATTTCAAATCTGTAGTGTAGTTTTCAGTAGAATTTTAACCTAAAATTAATAGATAAATAAAGAGGTTTGATTACCGGATGGATTTGGTTTTGATGCTTAGGCGGGAAGGCTTGAATGAGAGCTTGGCTCCGGCGAGTGAGCTGCCGCCAAGGCCTTTTACGGCGACGGATGGTTTCACGGCGGCGACGGTTGCAAGAGATGCCATGAGCTTTGATCACTATTTTCTGTTGTTGGGATGATTTGGAATTTGTTTGAAGAGATAGCCTTCAGTCAAAATGAGTGGATTCTGATCTTCGTCTGACGTGGCAAACTGAGAACTCATCTTGAAGATTTTCTTATGCCAACTAGAAAATGCCACGTGGAAACTAGTAAGATAATGCTATCTTCTAACGGAAAGTAGTTCATAACTTCTTGTTAGGACTAGGCCTGAGAATCCGGATCCTCGGGTCAGGTTCAGATCGGGTCATGTCGGGTCTAGGTCCTTCCGGTCTTGGAGATTTAGATTTATACAGGTTTTTATAATTTTTCGGGTCGGTTTCGGGTTGGGTCTTATCGGGTCCGGTTCGATCTTAATTTTGAAAACCAGTTAAAAAACCTATAAATTTTGGGTATTAAAGGTTCCAGGTTTGGTTCCAAATTTTTTGTTATTTTCAGTTCGGTTCTATTATCTGGGATCGGGATCGATCGATCTAAAATAGAGATCGATAGATCGATCGGTGAAGATCGACTGAACTGGACAAGGTCGATCAGTTTCTGCTCCGTGTTTTTTTATGTTTTTTTTTAATCATTGAGATCGACCGTTGGGATCGATCGATCCCGATCCCACGCGTGTTGTTTTTTTTATGAAGACATGAAGTCTCACGAGTGTTGTTTTTTTTTTGGAGGTTAAACTAATACTCGACGGGTAGCGGGTTTTATCCGGATCCGAGCATGTACCCACGGGTCTAAAAAAAATATCCAACAGATTAATTTCAATATACTCGGACCTGTACTCAAACCTGCGATTTCGGGTCGGTTCCGAGCTGGATCCTCGGTCCAAGTTAAAATGCCCAGCCTAGTTAGGACAATGGAAGCAAGCGCCTTTGGAGTTCAGAGATTTTGTTTTGGGTCCCTTGTTTTATGTTTATTTTGAAAAAGCCCAAATACGTATTCGCTTTAGTGAGCTCATAAACTGGCAAAACTATCATATGTTATTTTGGCTCTGAATATATACTTACATTAACTCAAAAAGATAGCTAAATATTTGTGTCAAAGTTGGCTTCTGAAATGGCATGGTGATGATGGCAAAATAATTTTGTTTCTACAGTTTATGCTAATACTTTTTGTCACAATCTATTTCTATCGAATTTACAAGGTGAAAAATAGCTTTCTTAATCGATATCACATGTTTACATTTCATTTGAAAACAACTCTAAAATCTAATTTTTCAATTTAAATAGAACACGTATTAATATTTTTTTTTTTTGAAACTAACACGTATTAATATTATTAACCTCCACTTGGTTTTTGGTAGCCGAGTAGTAGGAGGCGTCCATGTTTTGAAGAGTTTTACGGTTCAAACCCCCGGACATTAGCATCGATGCAAATGAAAACACAAATAAACAACTTAAGTTCTGTTCTTTTCTTTATATATATAAGAATCAATCAAATATTGATGCACTTGACTAAATCATTTTTATGCGGTCTCTCTTAGATATTTCTGCTGATAAACAAAGGTTGTGATTTTTGTTCTTTCTTTCAGAATATTTTTATTCATTTTGCAGTTTATCTTGTTATAAAGTGAACTCTAATAAAATACCCAAAATAATATCATCTCACCAATTTAGTGCAAGGTGAATAGTGTTACAGTAAATTTGATGTAATACTATTCATCATACCAAATATTATATATTTTTTAATTATGTTTCATCTAATAATATATTTCAACTGTTATTATTAATCAGTTTAAATTTGTAACTAAACATAAATATTTTGTATTATTTATATATTTAAGTTATTTTTATATAATTACAATATTTTAAATTTTATTTTCAAGTAAGAAATCACTAAATGACTATTATCATTTACTTTATTTTTTAAAATAAAATATTATAGAACTTATAATGAATAACTAATACATAATTATTAGTTTTGTAGTATAATTTTGAATATAATTAATATTTCATATAAAATAAATGTATAAAAGTATAATATTGTTAAACCAAAAATATTTATGTAAATAAATTTTATAAATATAAAGTTACAAAAAAATTAACAAAAATTTAAGGGGGATAAAATAATTATTTATAAATTACAAATAGTAAAATTATTAATTTATTCAAAACTTAAAATATAAAATACATATATAATATTATTTTTGATGTAATATTTGATGTTATGGTTAAAGATGATAGAAGAATATTTGACACCAAAATATTAAAATTGGTGTAATTTTAATATTAAAATTGGTGTAATTTTAATATTAAAATTAGTGTTATGATTGGAATTCTCAGATGACGAGAAGTTCAGTCTTCAAAACATGAATGAGAAGAAAAAATGAATAAGAAAAAAAGATTCCACGAGAGTGGGGGATCTAGTTGAATTGACCCCTAGACATGGGAGAGGCAAATGAAGGATGAAAGAGCAGAGACGTTTTCTAATTGGAGTTTGTCACGTGACGGAATATATAGGAATCCACAACTCAAGGCACTAGGATCTGTCCTTTTCCACTCATGAAATAGAAAATCACGGAGATTCCAAACCTGTGGAGAGAGGGAAGCGAAATGTGACTAGCCACCAATAAATTAGATCCTGCAGTAAATAACCATTCATTATGCATGTGATTCTGTTAATTGCTAGCAAGTAGGGCTGGGCATTTTATCCGTTATATTTGATTCGATCCGTTATTCGTTTCGATTCGATCCGAAAATTCCGGATATCCGTAAAATTTCGAATCAAAGCAAATACTAAAATTCAATATCCGTTAAAATCGAAGCAAATCACAAATATTAAAATTTTGGAAAGCGGATATCCGATCCGATCCGTAAATATATAAATATATGTATATTTTGATTATATTTAAAATTTTAATTGTATAAAATTATATAATTATTAATTTAGCACATGATTTTGAACAATTCTATTTAAATTATTACTTATATAAAAGTATTACATAAAAAGAGATAAAATATTTTTGACAATTATATTTTTTCTTAAATTTTGTGTTATTATAATTGTAACTTAAACTTTAAAAAATTACAAAATCTATAAATTCACTAGTTCTTTTAAGTTTTATTTTCTATATCATGCAAAAAAATATTTTTTCAAAGCAAATTTGTATCAAAATCTTAAGATTATTTGTACTAATTAAAATGGATGAGATATCCATAAATATTCGTAAATATCCGCAAATATCTATTTATTTTCCGGATATCCGTTTTTCCGGATATCCGTATTTTTTTCGAAGCAAAGCAAATACCAAAATTAGATATCCGTAACATTCGAAGCAAATCACAAATACCTTAAAAAACCCGGATATCCGATCCGTGCCCACCCCTACTAGCAAGTGCCTGCTAAAACTACTTTCCAACTCCATGTTTACATCTACTAAACCTTTGTCTAAGCTTTATTTTTCAAATGATGTTCAGTATTATTGATATAAAGTGTAATCTTTGTTTTAATACCCTGAATACGAATTGAGAGTATTTATAAATCATAGTAAAAGAAACATATAATATTTTCTATATCTTGAAACTTCGATGTTTGAGAGCTTTTTTTTTCTGTTTATGTAGAATATGGTTCTTATGCCTACATATCCGATACTTCTAAATGAATTTTTATAAAACATTTTTTTTTGTTTTTTTTTGTTTTTTTTTTTTTTTTTTTTATAAAACATTATTGGTTTGCTATGATCATGCAATTCTGAAAATATGGAATAAAATCTGAATGTGTATGCGGTATTTGTGATATTTTGTTGTTACCTATGAACAAGAATAAAATACAATGTATTACTAAGTTTATGAAGTGAAGAGAGTAATTTTACCCAAAAAAAGTGAAGATAGTAACCCGGAAGGTTACCAAATATAGTGCCATTTCATAACTAGTCTTGATATTGCTTATCAAAAAACACTATTACAATATAACCTTTTTAAATTAACACTATAAATTAATATACACTAAATTTTTTATAAAATAATATAAGTTTATAGTTTCAAATTAAATTTTTGGTTCATTTAATATATCAATAAATTAATAATCTCTATAATTTAATAAAAAAATATAGTTTTTGTATAGTTCTAACATTATTAATTTACAAAGGTTTTACTATATATTTTCAAAGAAGATTTGTATTGACAAATTGATTCGATGCATAAATACGATGACCAAAAAATCCAACATATTTCGGTACATGACGTAAATAGTGAAGATGCATCAGCATGATACAAATATGCTGTAAAATGAAAGTTCCGATACATCTCACCGGAAAGATTATGATGCATACGCTACAATTACGTTAGTTTGTTGTTATAAAATTAAAATTTCTGATAAACCTGTCGAGTTGGACCTAAATAATCGACAAGATAGACTTTACACATAACCTTGAGCTAAGAGGGTTTGACGTTGATTAACATAACATTGACGATAAACATACGGAAACACGGGCGAAGAAAGGCAGTTGTTCAAACAAATTGGGAATTTGCGTGCCAAGTTGGAGTTTTGATTTATTTATTTCACAAGTTGTGTGAGAATTAGTTATTTCTCTCAAAAATAGATTTTTAAAAAGTTGATCCATGTTCGGCATGGTATGTATAATAATAAGACAAAATGAAAACAATACTAAAATGCATACAGTGCCGGCGTCGTATGGGGGATGGTCAGAACCCTCCAAATTTTAGTATTTTTTTTACAAAAATGGTTACACATAATTTTAATTTTTAGATTTCTTACACATTTTGCACAAAAATTATTATAAAATATAACAATATAAAATTTATCAACTCTTGAAAAAACAAATAAAATTAGTTAGCTTTTAAAAATAGTTTCAATAATATTTGAAATAATGAAATTAAATAAGATCTAAAATTGTTGTTTGCCCTATAACAATGGCTCTCTTCATGCATGTAATAAAATCAACTGAAGTGGAATCCGACTTAGGAATTGCAAGTTCCAAGGACAACTTTTGTTAATTATAAAAATAATAATACCAAGAGTTAGTCATAAAAATAAACTATTCTTGTTTTCAGATCTACTGTATTTTTTTGGTGGCTAAATCTGTTTGTCTAAGGAAATGACTGGCAAAAATAAATGAAAAGTAACAAAAATACGAAATATATATTTCATTTTTTTTTAACTTAACAAACAAAATATTCGTTCTGTTTCAGAATATATGTCATTCTAGACTTATTTTTTTGTCACAAATTAAGTGTCGTTTTAGAGTTTCGAGACAAAATTTATTAGTTTTATATAATATTATATTTTTTTATTGGTTGAAAAGTGGTTAGGTATATAGGTAATTGTGTTTTTATATTGGAAATATGTAAAATTAAATATTTCCTTAATCTGTGTGCAAAAATCTAGAATGACAATTAAAATGAAACAGAGGGAGTAAGAGATACGCAGAAAACTAAGAACCATATGTAATAATCAGTTAAAAAGATTATTTAATAAACAAAACGTAAATTGATAAATACAATGAGCAGATGCTGACCCTACTCCCTTAAATGTGGGTCCAGCTGTTCTCGTAAAAGGCCTATATAAAGGACCCAACGTGACTCTCTCCTCCTCCCATCAAACTCGGATTAATCAATCAAACTGTGTGATACATTCTGAAAACACAAAGATACTATATTAAACTAAAAAAAGAAAAGAGAATAATAATGGGCAAGTGGGCAATCGCAGTACACGGTGGCGCCGGAATCGACCCAAATCTTCCCGTAGAGAGACAAGAACAGGCCAAACAGCTTTTAACTCGCTGTCTTAACCTCGGCATAGCAGCTTTACGTTCCAATGTCTCCGCCATTGACGTCGTTGAACTCGTCGTACGTATCTCTCTTGTCTCACAATATTATTATTGTTTTTCCATTTTTGTTTTTTTAAACGATTAACGCATGCAGGTTAGAGAATTAGAGACGGATCCTCTGTTTAATTCAGGCCGTGGATCTGCCTTAACGGAACAAGGAACGGTTGAGATGGAAGCAAGCATTATGGACGGTACGAAGAGACGATGCGGCGCCGTTTCGGGGATAACCACCGTGAAGAACCCAATATCTCTCGCTCGTCTCGTCATGGACAAATCTCCCCACTCTTACCTAGCTTTCTCTGGCGCGGAGGAGTTCGCTCGTAAACAGGTTTATTATTATTTTACTATTTTACCCCTACGGTTTTTAATATTAACCACTCGGTTTAATTTTATCGCTTAACCGGAATTGATCGGTTTATAGGGAGTTGAAATTGTGGACAACGAGTACTTTGTCACGGAAGACAACGTGGGGATGCTCAAGCTGGCTAAAGAAGCCAACTCCATCTTGGTAATAAAAGATTTGACTTAATCTCCACCGTCTATTTATTCACAGCACGTTTTTAAATATTAATCGTGTGGTCTGTATTTTTCTTGTTTTTTATTATTTCAGTTTGATTACCGTATCCCACTAGGATGCGCCGGTGCAGCAGTAACCGATAGTCCTCTCCTGATGAACGGTCTTCCGATAAGCATTTACGCGCCGGAGACGGTGGGATGCGTGGTGGTTGACAGAGAAGGACGGTGTGCCGCGGGGACATCAACAGGAGGTCTGATGAACAAGATGATGGGAAGGATAGGAGACTCGCCGTTGATAGGAGCAGGGACGTATGCGTCTGAGCTTTGTGGCGTGTCGTGTACGGGAGAAGGAGAAGCTATCATAAGGTCGACGTTAGCGCGTGACGTGTCGGCTGTTATGGAGTATAAAGGTGTTGGGCTTCAAGAAGCGGTTGATTACGTTATTAAGCATCGACTGGATGAAGGGTTCGCTGGACTTATTGCTGTGTCGAATAAAGGAGAGGTGGTTTGTGGGTTTAATTGTAATGGTATGTTTAGAGGATGTGCAACTGAAGATGGGTTCATGGAAGTTGCTATGTGGGAGTGAGTGAGAGAATTTATTCAGATTTATTTATTTATTTTAAATGGCTTAGTGTGGTATTCTTATCATCGCTTCTTTGTTGCTTAGTACCTTTCACGAATTCAATCTCGATGTACTTGTGGAGACGATCTATGAAAGTTTTAAGCAGCTCCTTTTCCCGCTCCTTGTTTATATTAGTTTCATCACTTTCATGGGCCCTCGTTTTGGTCTCTTTACACTTGAGAATCCACCTCCTTTATTGTATTGAGCATCAAGCTTCCAAAGGATTGTATATCTTCTTCCACAATACCGCTCAAAGACTCATTTCATATTGCACAATGTCAATGTAACGCCCCGACCGCCCACGGCTAATGGGCCACCCACGCCCGTTCTCTCGGCCCGTGTGCCCCATCCCGTTCCAACGGCCGTCCGTTAATTTTCTAAGCTTCTGGAGTCATATTTACTTACCCTGCAATCACCACATGACATTTTCCCGTGTTTTGGCCTCACTTACACGATATCACAAATCACTTTCCAATAGGTCACCCATCCTTTGGCTGCTCCAGTTCAAACACGCTTAACTCTGGAGTTCCCTCTAGATGTGCTCCCGAAAAGGTAAGTGTACTTTGGTGACATAAGTAGCCAAATCAATCCTATTAAGCCTTTTTCAAATACCACAAACCGGATTGTTACCGTCAATTTTGACTTCCTTATATCAGGTTTTATGCACATCCTGATTACGTTGACTCGTGAATAGTCGTGATATTCTAAAAGAAGTACGTTGATGGAACAAATGCATTGGCTGTAGATGATTCAGATGAGAAGCGAGCTTATATCTCACAGGTATGGAATAAGTTTGGTGGTATATCATAACGATGACATTTTCTTTATTATGTTACAGAAAAAGCTAGTTAAAAATATTTTCCTACAAAGTGTAGGAAGAGGGCATATCATTTAGGCGATGCTTGATTTCGAGTGGTTGATAAAGCCAAGACTGAGTCAGTTAATAGAAATGCTTCCTAGGGAATTGACAATGTAATAATATGTTCTCAGGCTTCTCATAGCTTTCGAGAAGATCTGAAGATTCATGTTGTTCATGTGCAGCCTTGTACTACAACAATACAACGCGCAGATCATTCTTGATCCTTACAAATCTGAAAAACATGTGAGATACCTCTTTGAAAGTTAACCAACTGCAAGTATATATGTACATATATGTCTGTTAATATCGTGTGAGTTGTTTATTCCATTTAACATGTTGATATGTTTCAGTCCAATAATATCATAGCTAGATTAGAATGGGTAGAAAATAGCTGACTGAAGATATCAAATGTGTGTCTGAAGGAACCATCAAAAGAGTCCGTAACACGGAGGCTTCCTCCTTGATACGAAACACTAGCCTTATGGATAATGTATGTTCATGCACTGGCTAGAGAGGTTTAAGATGTTAGCTAAGAAGACTACATCAATGGAGCTGCAATTTTCCGATGAATAAGAAGACAAGTGGCATGATGCTTAACCACTAATCAGTAATTACTAAAATAACTATGTGCTTGACTACTCCGACATGCACCATCATTACTCTCATAACGACAGCGAAAGAAAACCCCATTAAACGCTTTTGTCACTTTCCACATAAACACGCACGTGCCGAGAATTCTCACTTGTTGAAAGCTTGGATAAGTTACTCGCGTCGGCGTCACCAACGTTTTCAGCCGCGATTTTATGATTCAACAACGAAAAAGGCTTTTCATTTTTCGCGACTGAAACCTAGCTAACATGAACGGCTACGTCATTTGACTTTACGAATACGAACAAACAAAAAGGAAACATCTTTGATCAAAATAATTTCAATAATTTTCTTTTTTTTTTTTTGTTAATTAACGACCACAACAACACAGTACTGCAAACCTACAAAAATGAAAGCTACATTAAAGACTTTCAACTACTTGTCTTTCATCAACCCTCATAATCTCCGCAACTCCACAATCCTGTCCTCTCGCCATCTTCCTCAATCTCAGCTACCTAGTTCGTGTCTGAATTCCGGGTTTCGATTCTTCCGATCTAACCACCTCTTCTGTAAGTTCCCTTTATTCGATTTTTGTTTCCGGTGATTCTTGTTTCCACGTTGTTTTGTTCGGATTCGTTAAACGCATCTTAGATGTTCGACGAAATGTCTTAAAGATGCATGCTTTCGGTATATAACTTTGATCACCCGTCCAACTTCAGATATGTTATTTTGATCTGAAATTTCTGAGCTTCTGCAAGAAAATACACTCTTCTCTTTGGTTTATATGGATCTGTTGTTTGAATATAATTTGCATTTTTTTATTACTTTTGATTATACGTAGTTTTGGCGGTATAACCTTTAGTGATCTATGTAATCAATTGATATGCAGGTACACAGTCTGGTTCACTCATGGAAGTGTTTAAAGCGGTTTTGTCACAAGGGTCTAATTCCTGTGATCGGATAGCTATTAAATCCGATGGGAAGAGTTACTCTTATGGTCACCTTACATCCTCTGCCTTGACAATATCTAAAATGTTCCACCACGAAAAGGTATAATTATTGGTTGGAATTTTTAACTTTAAACCTCTTAATAGGTTTCTATTTATTGACTTTTTTCTCTTCTCTGCATTTTGTTTTGTAGGGAGGTGAAACAAGCAAGTATGAAGGGTATGGTAGTCTTCAAGGAGCTAGAGTTGGAATTGTGGCGAAACCTTCAGCTGAGTTTGTTGCTGGAGTTCTTGGGACTTGGTTTAGTGGTGGCGTTGCTGTTCCACTTGCACTCAGCTATCCTGAGGCTGAACTCTTATATGTCATGAATAATTCGGTACGTCTTCTTGTTTTCTTGTGCTTTGTTTACTTCGTTTAAGATGTTGATCCTTACTGCTAGTTTGTTGCCCTTTCTGTTGTGGTCATTCTTGGGTATCCTTGATCTTAGA